CAGCCTCACCCGACAACCCAAAACCCCACCCCCACAGCCCTAGCGCATCACTTTGACACTATGTCTCTCCGTGAACCCACTTGGTATATGGACACCAGTGCATCCCATCATATTGCCTCTGACCCAGGTACTATTTCTCATGTTAATTCTCAATCTTTATATTCACCATTATATATCACTTTTGGTAATGGATCTAAAGTAAGCACTACGGCTGTTGGTAACCATACCCTTCCCACTACCCCTTCCTTATCCCTTAAAAATATCCTTATCTCCTCACATCACTCACAACCTTATCTCTGTCCGTCAACTCACTCGCGATAATAATTGTACAGTTGAATTTGACTCTAATGGTTTTTCTGTGAAGGATCGTCGGACGGACACCGTGATGCATCGATCCAATGATATGGGACCCCTCTACCCCCTAGGACGCCCAGCCGTCGCTCAAGCCAACGTCGCCGCTGTCGATCTCCAGACTTGGCACCGGCGCCTAGGCCATGCGAGCCACAATGTCCTTAGCAACATTTCTTCTCTTCCTTTTTTTAAAAGTTACCAACATTCTCTTTGTCATGCATGTCAATTGGGAAAGCATGTGCGCCTCCCATTTTATTCTTCTAGTCGTGTTTCCATGTTTCCGTTTCAACTTTTACATACAGATTTATGACAATCTCCTGTTCCGAGTATTACTGGTTTTAAATTTCATATGTTATTGTTGGATGATTTCTCCCATTATCTTTGGGTTTTTCCTTTAAGACATAAAAGTGATGTTTTTAATCATTTAACCTCTTTTGTAGCATATGTCAAAAATCATTTTAATACAACAATAAAATCAGTTCAGTGTGACAATGGAACAGAATATCGTAATTCACCACTTAAAAATATTTTTGACTCCTTAGGTATCCTCTTTCGTTTCTCGTGTCCTCACACCAGTCAACAGAACGGCCGAGCTGAGCGCACAATTCGTACCATCAACAACTCGGTCCGTTCACTCCTCTTCCAAGCCCAACTTCCTCTTACTTTCTGGGTTGAGGCCCTTCACATGACAGCCCATATTTTTAACATTCTTCCCACCACCACTTTACAAAATAAACCCCCCACGCCACCCTCTTCCATTCCCCCCCCCTCCTACGATCACCTTCGCGTCTTTGGTTGTTTGTGTTACCCCAATATCTCCGCCACCGTCCCCCACAAACTAGCCCCACGCTCCGCTCGCTGCATTTTTTCTCGGCTATCCCTCTAACCAACACAGCTTCTGTTGTTTCGATCTTACCACCCACAAAATCATTATCTCCCGCCACGTCGTGTTTGATGAATCCTGCTTCCCCTATGGTCACCCCGTCTCCACCCACGAACTTAACTTTCTTGACACCCCCAACGACGACCCAACTCCACCCTACCCCTACCACCAGCCCAGCTC